GCATCAGTATGGATGGTGAAGAGATTGAGATAGTTAACAGTTTTAGTTTGCTTGGCTCCACAGTCAACACTCTTGGTACCAGCAGCCAGGAGGAAATAAAAAGACAAACTGCATTGGGAAAGTCAGCTCTAAGGGACCTCTCCAGAGTACCACAGAGCAACGATGTTAGGCTGGAGACTAAGGTGCACGTGATCTGGGCTATAGTCTTTGCAACTGCCTGCTATGCGTGGGAGAGCTGGACAGTAACTAGAGATGACAGAAAGATAATTGATGCCTTTGAACTATGGTGCTGGAGAATAGTGTTAAATATACCATGGACTGCTAGCAGAACAAACAAGTTTGTCCTGGAGAGGGTGAAGGTGGGCTGCTCCTTGGAATCAAGGATTCTGAAGCTTCATCTGACATACTTTGGTCATGCTGCAAAGAGAAACCAGTCCTTGGAGAGGGACATCATGTTTAGGGGAGTGAAGGGACAGCACAGGAGATGAAGAACCTTGATGAGATGGATTCATTCAGGGATTGGGGCGGTGGGAGTAGGTGTGTTGGAGTCAGTGAGGTTGGCACAGGATAGAGTAGGATTTAGGGCTCTTGTACATAGGGTCACTATGAGCCACAAGCGACTTGATGGCACATAATGACAACAATAAGTCAATAGAGTAAGGATCACAGATTTTAAGAGAGAAATTTTTACTCTGATAAAAGTATGCATGTGAAGGAATTAATGCAAGGAAAAATTTAGACTCTACTGGACCACTGCTCAGAAATTTTATTAAAAAATGCTATAAAATAATGTATATGTAGATACAGGGTTATGCAAAAGCATGTTACTGTGTAGATCATAACAAGCTATGGCTAACCTTGAGAAGATTGAGAATCCCAGAACACTTAACAATGCTCAGGTGAAACCTATACCAAGACCAAGAAGTTGTTTGAACAGAGCAAGGGAACACTTGATAGTTTAAAATAAGGAAGAGTGTGCATCAGAGTTTTAGCATTTCTCTATACCTATTCAGTGTGCATGCTAAATAAATCATTCAAGAGGATAGACTGTATGAAGAAGAATGTGGCATCAAGATAGGAGGAAGACTTATCAACAACTTGCATTATGCAGATAATACAACCCTACTTGCTGGATTTGCTCACCAAGTTATGCCAAGAAATCTGAAGAACAACCACTTGGCCCAACTGACTGGAAGAGATCTATATTTGTTCCTATCCCAAAGAAAGG